CGGGCCTGGAGGTGGAGGCGCTGCCGGGCCCGCCCCTCCGGCAGGCCCAGCTTTAGCCCCACCGGGCTCTGCGGGGCTTCCCAGTATCGCCGGTCTCCCTTCCTGGTGCCCGCCGCTCTCCAGACTGGGACCCTCCCAGGCGCGCACCTGCAGAACTGTCAGCTGTCAGATGCGCACCGAGCGCCGCTTCCGGTGGGAGGAGATGGGTGTGTCCAAAAGAGAGAGCGGGCGATTATTTTCTTTATTACCCACGAAACTCATGCCAGGAGTATCGTTTAGTTTTAATAGCAGACTTTCCTTGGCGTGCAGATCTTGTAAGATTTGATTTATCAGATCGTGGCTGTACTGGACCAGCTTTTCTGAACACTAGGTGTAGGAGGAGGTGATGTACTTGTGTGTCCATTGTTAAGCTTACATCTGGACCTCCAGAGCCAGAGAGAGAAAGCACCCCGGGGGAGAATTAGGATTGGAGAAATCAAAGCCACAACAAGAGTATCACGGGTGTTGAAGAGTAATTGGTGACATTTGCGACATGGTCAGACCGAATAAAGTAATACAATAAGTAAGGACCCATTGCAACAGGTGCCTACGAACAGGTCTGCGATTAGTTTTGAGTATCAGTGCCCTAGGGGAAGGAATTGTTTGAGAGAAATGGAGTAGCGGTAATACCAAAGATTGGATTTGAGAAGCAGTAGTGTAGTGAAAAGATTATAGGCTTTCGAGTATTTTGAGTAATAAAATCTGGGTTTGAATCCTGGCTCCACCACTTGAGCCTTGCAGCTACACTATTCACACCTGTCCAGTGCAGATTATGCCTACTTCATAGTCATGAGCACTATATAACATTATCAATGGGAGAGTTTCTAGCACAGCGCCTGGTGTATAATATTTGTTGTTATCACGTTCAGTCCCCTCCTTTCCTTAGCTCTTAACAATTGACAGTTGACCTCTACCCTCCTCCCACCCCATCCCCAAGCAAAGTGGAACGGAGGCGCCTTCGTGATCTACAAATCTTAAGTCCTGTGACTGAGAGCGAATTCAGTAAGGGTGACATGACTCAGTTTTGTTTTCTGTATTGTCTATATGAGGATTAGGCAGTACGCCTTATGGTGAAAACTTGTGTTTGAATATTTGTGTGCCAAATGCAACTTGTTTTGCTTGTTTAAGTTACCATTTCGCCAAGCCCTGGTCATATCTCTGGGAGAAGGTTAAGGGTAAAGGGGAGAGGAAAAATAAAAAAACTTGGGGAGCCAGGGTGGCCTCTAGCTAGGCACAACGTTTTTGCTGGTGGAAAAGGGATTATCTGTGACACGAGCAGTTTATAAATAGAGTTGAGAAGAGGATTTAGGAAATGGGGGAGGCAGACTAAAATATTTTATCAAATCGAGTCGTACCTCAGTCTGAGAAGGTCGCATGGAAAGGGTGGATTGGAGACAGGCCTTGATGTGGGTTTGGATATGGGGAGGTCAGAAAAGTGGCAGATATAGACGAAGAATAGGTACAGAGTGACGAGAGTGGTGTGCATCCTGGGGGCTCCCCTTTCCTACCGCTCCCAGGAACCGAGGTGCCAAAAAGGTTACGTGCCTAGAGTTCCTTGGAAGAAAAGCCCTCCAGTGTGTGAACCTATTCACATCCTCTCGAAAACAGGAGCTGTGAGACGGGATGTGCGGGGGAGTGGAAAGACCTGTTCAAGCTGCAGTGGCCGCCTCACTAACCCCGGGTTGCGGGGCTGCCGCGTGCAGATGTGCATGCGATGCCCTGAACACGCACCTGCCGAGTTCACAGCTGGGGCTAAAACCCAGCCAGGCTCTGTCAGCAGAACTGGCCCAGGCTGCTTCGACCGGGGAAGTACCTTGTTCTAATTGCCAAAGGCACCATGAGGGCTCAGGATCTGTCTCCTTTGTTTATTTCTTTCTCTTTTTTTAAATATATTTTATTGATTTTTTACAGAGAGGAAGGGAGAGAGATAGAGAGGTAGGAACATCGATGAGAGAGAAACATTGATCAGCTGCCTCCTGCACACCCCCTACTGGGGATGTGCCTGCAACCCAGGTACATGCCCTTGACCGGAATCGAACCTGGGACCTTTCAGTCCGCAGGCCAACGCTCCATCCACTGAGCCAAACCGGTTACGGCTGTTTCCTTTGTTTTTTAATGGTGTTCCCATATCAGGGCCAAATATTGCATATCTTCCTGTAATACGATTCGCTAAGTGATTTCTGTTAACCATCTGTAGGAGCGCAGTCATCATTTGAAGACTGGCCCTGTATGAAAAATTTGCAGACATTCAGGAGACCTGCTGTGCTCTCTCAGCTCCCTCTTTGTCCTCTGCTCTCCCTTCTACCTCCTTTAGGTTAGATGCTTGGAATCCCTAAGCTGCTCGGCACCCACCTCCCTGGGTGACCTGAAATGCACCGGTCCCTGCACCCCAGGCCTGCTCTTCAGCATCAGGTACATCCTGCCCCTTTGGAGTCATCTTGCTACCTGTGTCCAGCTACCCACTGTCATTGCCGTTGCTCCTGAGCCCTCTGCCCCTGCCTCCTTGCTTCTCTGTTCCTTTCCACCTCATCCTGGTTGGTGTAATTTTGGAAAGGGAGAGATTCATTAGAGAAAGAACAGGAGGATTACAAGAAAAGAAGAGGCACGGAGGATAATGGAGGGAGGAAACTTGGGAGTGACAGCCATAGAGACCAGGGAAATAATAAGAGAAGCAACATTCGCAGTGATGGGGGGTGAGGGTGAAAAGGAGCGCGCATTTTGAGGACGGGGGTCTCTGGCATCGTCATCTGGTCCTCAGTAACAAGGTGACCTTGCTTCCCTCAGGTGTCCTCATGACTTCTCTTGCGGACCATGTCCATGATCCTCTTTGCCTGCGTGGTAAGGGTGAGGGATGGACTGCCCCTCTCGGCCTCCACTGACTTCTACCACACCCAAGAGTTTCTGGAAATCAGGAGACGGCTCAAGACTTTAGCCTTGCGACTGGCCCAGTATCCAGGTCGAGGTTCTGCACAAGGACGTGACTTCAGTATACAGTAAGCAAGCATGTTCACTTTCCCAGAACATCAGCAAAGCCGGGGCTACTTCTGTCATATGTTCAGGTAACGTTATGCAGATCACATGGCCTGTTAAAAGGAGACCTAGCCTGGCCGGTGTGGTTCAGTGGTTGGGTGTCAACCCAGAAACCGAGAGATCGTGGTTTGGTTTCCAATCAGGACACATGCCTGGGTTGTGGGCTCGATCCCCAGAAGGGGGTGTGCA